ACCCCTTGAACACGGGGCCAACATTAAATCACAACCGACTACTGATATTTGGGGAGTACGAGTCCCATTTTCCTCTCCTGCTCCTGGGCCTCTTCCAACAGATTCTTCAAAGGTTATAGGGCACACGCACGGTGGACAGCTGGTCTTCGTGGGCACTGAAGCGCTGGGAAATGGCCTGAAAAACAGCCAAAACCGTCCAAAACCAAAATAGCCTGGAAAATGCCCTGAAAACTGCCTGAGAATGGCCCCCAAAATGTCCCCCAAACAGGCATGTCCCCTATAACCTTTGAAGAATCTGTTGGAAGAGGCCCAGGAGCAGGAGAGGAAAATGGGACTCGTACTCCCCAAATATCAGTAGTCGGTTGTGATTTAATATTGGCCCCATGTTCAAGGGGTAAAGGAAAATAGGGGACACGCCTGTTTTGGGGACATTTTTGGGGCCATTCTAAGGCAGTTTTCAGGGCATTTTCCAGGCTATTTGGGTTTTGGACGGTTTTGGCTGTTTTTCAGGCCATTTCCCAGCGCTTCAGTGCCCACGAAGACCAGCTGGCCACTGTGAGTGTGCCCAGAGAGAGGGCTCTGTGTGCCACCTGCGGGACGCGTGCCATAGGTTCATCAAATAATACAAATAATAAAATTCTAAATTCTATTCTATCGTCACAGGCACAGACAGGGTCACCCAGTTTTCTTGGCAGCGTTTGCCCTTGCCGCCTCCAACTGACCCGGACTGCTCACCGATGCCCACATTTCTTCCCCTTGGAACTAAACTCCCCCCACCCCAAATACATCAAAGCAGGAGGGGGAGAGAGAGAGATTCTCCTGAACCTCCACTCATTTCAAATCCCAATGAAGGTCGGAGGCGCATAGGAAGAGGCCAGGGTCCCAACCAGAGGACAAGGCAGCTCTTCTGAGGAAGCCCAGCTCATCCAGAGGCCCCCCGGGAAGAGGGACGAGGCCTCGCCAAGGACCGGGTTCAGATCCTCACCTGCTGCGAAGTGTGGCAGTTTCTTACTGACGTAAATGAGGCAATAGGCGCTGGCGTTTTTCAAGCCGCCAAAGGAGTCCCGCTCCAGTTCCTCCCAGGAGGACTCCGTCACGGCGATGTCGTTGTACTTGAGCCAGGCCCTTCGGGGCAGGTGGTAGATGTAGGCCCAGTAGTGCCCGGCGTTGGCCTGGCCTTCGTGGACCAAGACAGCATGCAAGTGATAAGGGACCTGGAAAACACCAACGCGGACACCATCGGCTCCGGGGTTTATTTTAAGAGAGGGGAAAGTAACACGACCGCGGGGAGATTCGGTGAGGCAAATTCTCAGCTGTTGCGCCTGTAAGAACGACCCATTCATGTAATCAAGGCTCAGCAGAGATTCTTTTCCTGGGGCAACAATGAGGCTTTCTAAGTTGGTGAGTGGGGCTGCAGAGACCATCGTGACCAGGCCAGTCGGGTCCAGAGACAGCCACCCGCGACGCGCCCAACGGACTGACACTCGATGGAAGCCACTGGCCAGGCAGGAGTCTTGCAACTAGCAAGGCCTTGAGGTGTGACCCTGTTGGGGACGGAAGAGCTCAAGGCAGTACGAATCCAGACCACGCCCAAGCTCCCGTTTGTTGTCTCCTAAACCAGGGGTCTCCAAACTCAGCAACTGTAAGGCTTCTGGACTTCAATTCCCAGAATTCTTCAGCCTGACTGAGGAGGAATTCTGGGCGGTGGAGTTCCCCAAGTCTTAAAGTTGTCAGGTCGGAGACCTCTGTCCTAGACGGGAGAGGCAGGAGCTCTCCGGGCGAAAACAAGGATGTCCCAGCTCTCCCATCAAAATGCTCAGCCTCTGCGGCCTCCTTGGAGAGGCAGCAGGGAACCAAACCGGTACTCAGAGGTTCCACCTTGCGTTTCAATGCGTGGCAAAAAAAAATACAGCAGGCAGATTTAAGTGCCTGTGCTTTTAGCTATGATTGGCATGGAATCATTTTCAAAAACAAGGTAAAATCATTGTTTGTGGGAGAATGTAGTGTTTGAATTCCCAGGGATTCCCAGATTAAATCCTAGAAATTTAATTTGACACCTCCAGGCTAATTTCACATGGAGGAACAATGGAAAGAAAAATGGAAAGAATTGATTAGATGATAGATGACAACAAGGTTTTATTTTGGGGGAACCGGGGCCAATCCGAGGTCAGAAGCACTCACACAACCAGGAAGAAAGGTAGACACCCTACCTGGCAGAATTGAGGGTCAGCATAGACGTAATCCATGGACTCAGAAAGCATCTGCATGGAAGCCTTCAAGCCTGTGAATCAAAGCAAAACACTAAACCAGTGTTTCTCAACCTTGGCCACTTGAAGATGTCCGGACTTCAATTCCCAGAATTCCCCAGCCAGCATTCGCTGGCTGGGGAATTCTGGGAATTGAGGTCCCGGACATCTTCAAGTGGCCAAGGTTGAGAAACACTGGTTTAGTGTTTTGCTTTGATTCACAGGCTTGAAGGCTTCCATGCAGATGCTTTCTGAGTCCATGGATTACGTCTATGCTGACCCTCAATTCTGCCAGGTACGGTGGCGGCCTTTCT